TCACAAATCAAAGAATTATTCCTGAAAATTATTCATTGCTGGCATAGTGCTGCAGTTTGGCAACCACACATTGGTAATTAGTTAACATAAGATTCGTGTAGATGAGTTGTCTTTTTTTTTTTTCAATTTTGTAAGTCAAAGACAAAACAAATAACAACAACAACAATAAATAAATAAATAAGTCCTTCACTCTGAATGGGATGGTCTAGATTTATAAATTTAATTTAGCATGGAGAGTTACATTTAAACCTACAATAGCCTTATATATTTTTAAAAACCTAGGTGAAAGCAGAGAGGTAGGGAAGTTTTAGTAAGATTTTATCTGGTCCAATCTAAATGGTTTGCTGAAGCAGCTTTTCAATGTCATCCTGCGTCAGGTTTCAAATTTCCTGTTGTAATGTTTGAAAGGCACCCCATCACGACCAATGAGGAACTTTTCAAAATTCCAAGCGATGTCACACAGGAGACCAAATTATGAACTTTGGATCGATCATCAGAGACACAGGATCATCAGGTGGGAAAGGCAATGATTCTTTCAATAACTTGAAAAGAGGGTGAGCATTTTCCCCATTGACTTCACACTTCTCAAACACAGTGAAGTTGGGCTCATGTCCATTGCCTGGGCAGACATATTTCAGGGATTTCAGGATCTCTCCATTGGTGGCATTTTCCTGGTGACCAAACTGGTTAGAGGGGAAAGCCAGCACCGTGAGCCTCTGAAGACCGAAATGCTGCTGCAGTTCATGGAACTAAGTGAAGTCCTGGGTCATCGTGCCTCAAAGAGAAGCCACATTGGAAATCAGCAACACCTTTCCCCACAGCAAGCCCAGATCAATGGGCTCTGACGCCCCCAGCGGCCACACCACAATGCCAGCCAGACCATACCTTGAGAAAGCAGCCATCACAACAGCACCAAAAAACCTGTAGAAACTGCCAAATGGGATGGAGAACACATGCTCCTGTGTGCAGCACACCAACACCAACGCTTGGAAAAAATGTAAATGTAAATGTGTATACATCAGTGTTGTCCAAACTTGGCCACTTTAAGATGAGTGGACTTCAACACTCAGAATTCCCCAGCCAGCCATGCTGGGTGGGGAATTCT